TCAACAGTAATTTAAAGCAGTTTTTACATTCTACGTTTTCCTTTTCATTGTTGTTTGTAAACAATGTCTTTATACACATTTTATCACCTAAGCTGACATTTATTTGGAGATTTTTAGCAACGCGCACTACTATTTTGAAATGAAAAATAAATACGAGGTGAAAATGAAGCAAACTTCGAGGTGACTATTCAGCTTGAAAATGCATATTGAATTTTGTTGGATACATAATAAATACTGGTAAAAAATGTTACTTTTACGGACATACAAATGCAAGTTTGCGAACAAACCTATGGGAATGTAGGTTCGCGTAACGCACGTTTTGCCCCACGCACTACTGCACGTAGAGCGTCCATGCGTGAACGAGAAAAGTTGTGCACACTCTATGGCGCGTATGAACGCGCTGCCGATCTAGTCATTTTATTCTATACCTATGAGTATTTCCCATTCCCCATGGGCTGATAGTACTTTTAGAGACCCGGCATGAATGGGAGTAATAACGAAGGTCACGTGATGTCAGTTCCACCAAACAAATGACAAGGATATGTATGTCGGTTATATAAAGAATTTTATTCTATATCTGTGGCATTTGCACACAAATACCGCGTCATGGAACAAGCATCAATCCTAACTGTTCAATAGTATTTCCCATTTCCCCATGGGCGAATGGGACTTTTTGAGCCCCGGCGTGAATGTGAGTAATAACCATAGAGCTATATTAATTTAATATAGCTCTATGGTAATAACGAATGTCACGTGATGTGAGTTCCACCAATCAAATGACAAGGATCTGTATGTTGGTTATATAAACCATATTAGTCCCTCTAGCAGTGACAATAGAGGCAAACAATTACGCGATTGGGATGAATGTGTACTCCAATAATGCTTGTACCAAATTTAACACCATTTACATGGAAAATACAGAAATTATGCCCAAAATATTGTTTTAACAGGATTGGCAAACATAATAGAAACATCAAGAAAGTCATATTATTAGAATAATGGTCAACCAATATTCCTGCCAATTCCGGTTCGTTACAATACACGCTCGAGGTGCGTTAACTTACGGTTCCATTCGTGCTATGCTACACCCATAGAACACCGTGTGAAGTACGCACGGTTGAATTGCGATGATGTCACACTAACCGGACAGTGGAAAAATCGGTCAAAGCATATGAAAATGTATGTGGGGTCACAATGTGCTGTAATCTACCCCTTCAGTCATGAAAAGACTCCCAAAGTAACCGCCTGATAGGGTTAAAATCTGTACGAACCTGGTTAAAATAGGCGGGGGACATGAACAAGTGCACATTTCCATTTATGCTAAAGAAAACCCTGAAATGTATTAGTACAGATGCTTTCAAATCGCTTGCCATGGCAAAAATTGACACACCGCAGAAGGGCGGCCGTGTTGACCACCGAAAACAAATTGGAAAAGACACCAAATTTGATCAGGAAATTTACTCAATCTGACCATAAATACATGAAGGGCCAAGACAGAGTGAAATTCATTCCATCATATAGATCCTGATTTCACTGGCGTTTTCACTGGAGTGATCCTTGTTTTCAATAACATGTATTTCAATAAAAAATTAAGAATAATAATGTGCTCTCTAAATCGCCTGATCACTTCCCTGTCTTGAAAATAACAAAAAAAAGAAGAAGCTATTTTGTTCAGTAAATTGCAGCACTATGTATAGTCTGAGTATCACTCGTTTATCAACGGAGCCCAGTCCTGTATAAAGTCTTATATGTCAAGACATGCAGATATATGCAAGTCGCGCGCCAGCCAATCGGAGTCGACTTTACTAAATCGGAGTCGACTTCACTAAATCGAGAGGCCATTTCATTCAAGCAAATCAGGAATAATGGTTTGATTGGTCAATTCGAATACACTGTTTTACAACAACAGCCGGGCGCATATTGCATAACACGATACAGAACGCGTGTCACAGGTGTTTTTTAAACCCATTATCGAGAGTTTTAATGTGCAGTTGTCTTGCACAATTATAATAATAATTTATAATAATAATCATCCTTACTCGCAGCTGGTTTGCTGAATTGCGAAGGACGCGGCTACAACGTGGTCGGGCCGCTGGCACGTAAAGGCGCCTATGGCTGCCGGCCACATCGACCCATATATGACCACAGAGCACAGCCAGAGATCGAAAGTGTTTGATTTTTCTTTCCGGGAGGAAAACCAGAGGGCCCGGACAAAAACCCTCGTGGCACAGGAAAGAACCAACGCACAACTCTACTCACATGTGATCCGCGACCAGGATTCGAACCGTGGTCACCTTGGTGAGAGGCGAGCGCTTTACGCACAAGCCAACCATGCCACCCTAACCTAATTAATCAGCGAATCTGTTCAGATGTGATAGACATTCGCCATGGTCTATTACATATTATAACACCTCACCCACAGATTCTGTGTCTTGATTGGCCGAGAGCGAGTCACATGTTACTTTCTAATTTTGCTATCTTTCTGTGCACGGCCAAAAGTACTATGCGCATAGCAACCAAAGTACTATACCATTAGCAACCAAAGTACTATTTCCACGGCGCGGTATTTGTGTGCAAATGCATGCTGGTGCGCGCGTTGCGCGTTGTGCGTAGCGCGTATTATTCCAAAGAGAGCGCGCCCCAGACTTGGGTTCAAACATTTCGTGAAGGGTTAGTTTTTAAGAGAGAAATACATTTTCCACCAATTTTGTATTGAAATTGAAGTTTATTTCAACTGTGTTCAGATTTAAATAATGTAAAATATTAAAATCAAGCAGAATCTGTGGGTGAAGTGTTATAAAACAAATATTGAATGCTTTATCTCGTGGTGAAGTAAAACTAGCCTCCCTCGGTGATCCATGGACCTTTCTATTTTCCCTTGGCTTCGCCTCGGGAAAATAGAATGTCCATGGATCACCTCGGGAGGCTAGTTTTACTACACCACTCGAAGCATTCAATATTTGTATAGACTCAGATTTATTCTGGCAATATACATGAATTTGCCAAAATGACAATGATTTTACCTACAAAATTGTACCCCAAATAATACCCCTTAGAGCAGAGGAGGCTGCGAAAAGGCAGTCTGTTTCGTTTACAAATTGTGAACTTGCAATTTGTTTTCATTTGTTCCCGTTATGCAAATGGCACACAAGATCTGAATTTGTGGCATGGGGAAGTGGGAACTATGATTTTGGTAGTAAAAATGTGCTAGGTTAAGAAATTCTTCCTAAATTTGTTATTATTAACAGCATGTTATTACTAAAAGCAAACAGGAAAAAATATGAAAAATCACCATTTTTTTGGAGCGATACTGCACAATGAGTATTAAGTTGCCCAAGATTGTCTAATCAGATATACAAGTGATCCGCAAATCACATGTGTCGCTTTTTTCTGCGGTCAATCCCTAGAGATGTTTTGAGTTCTTAAAAACTCGAATTTTGTGCATTTTTAAACAAAGACCTCAAATGAGCCCCACATGACCTTTGACCTCCAATTTCGGAAGAGTTGTGATGAACTCCTACCCAAGGATCACTCCATCCAAATTCCATTGAAATCCATCAAATTCTGTGGACAAAGAAACATTTGAAGCATAATTGAGCAATAACCTCTAATGACCTTTACATGACCCTTGACCTCAGTTAATCTGATGAAGAATTGTGTCTTTCCACCCAAGAGTCACCGCATCTAAGTTTTATCAAAATCCATGAAAGCACGTAGAAGTTATACATTTTCTTCAAAAACTTAACCTAACTTTAAGATACAAAAGGGTCTACAGTCGTAAAAAATTTAGGACTCGTTAGTGCCTCCCAAGACTTTGTTAAGGGAAAACAAAAATGTTGTATTGTAAGGGCCTAAACATATAATAAAGATGAATTTTCAAAAGTGGTTCTATTTTGATGTAAGGGTAAGGAGGAAGATTTGTTATGATATAGTTACTTTGTGAGTTTTTTTTGTATGTTGTGATTTTTTTTTGTATTTTGCCTTGACCAGGTTGCTTTGGTGATGTCCAGATTAAGGAGTTTTTTTCTCCAACACTTTTGGATTGAAGCTGACGTAGTCGAGAGAGTGCGGGGATGCAGGATCATCACCAGTTTGGAAGATGCCGATCAGGTTCGCTCGACACCGATTTAGAGGAAAACAGCGAGTTGGAAACAAGGAGCCAACAAAAACAATGTCCAACAAGGAGCCATCAAGCAGACCCATCAGCGCTGGTTGCATAGGGTGTAGGCTCCTCCACCATTTGTTCAAGTTCGTTGCAACAGCAAAAACTGACTGACCTCTCCTATTCCACACGGACTTCAGGCTTATGCAGTTTCCAAATGCGTCTCTTTGGAGGAAGGAACATGGCTTCTGCGGATGGGTTTGCAAGACAAGGTCGCATACCAAAAGCTTGTACCTGCGGCCGCCATGATGACCATCAAAACCTGCTGAAGCTTGTCCAACAGGCCCAGTTAGGTCACTTCACTTATACCAATCAGATAATCATTAGTTGGAACATTGATTACATTTATTTGCCGATTAATGACTTATTAAGATTTTTGCTTGCCATTGCTAAGTGGGTCAGGTAAAAAAAAAATGAATAAAAATACCATACAACTAATTATAAAATAAATTGGTGAATTTGACAAATATAATTTTCAGATTTTTGTTACTGCAAGCCTGGATTATCACTCCTTTAAGGAAACTTTAAGTATGCCATATCGATAGACGGGCTTTTTAAGGACAAATCTAAGTCATTGTCTCCATTTTCTTGGACTGCTAAAGTAGGTGTTTTTCGCTACTGCATTATTTTCATTCTAAAATCTAAAACACTGGTATAGGAAGTGCACACTAGGCTTTTAACCTTTTTTTTCACCAAATGGGGAACATAAATAACTAATTGCACTCGCTTATTTTTAGAAGCAACCTTATATACTTTTTATAAACAAAACAATTTCCTTACCGATATACAGCTTTCTCAAATTGTGTGTGCATAAGAAATACTTGCATAATCAACTCACCTCTTGGTGACTTTGTTAGCCAGTTGAAGTTGTTGAGTTGCTTGAAGGTTGTTAAGACGCTCCACCATTTCCCACTGGATGACTCCTTGGTCAGGCCACTTCACTGCCTTAAACTTGTGCAGGAGGTTCCTTGGTGAGCTTGATAATATGAGATGGATCAAGAAACACATAAGACTGATGTGCCTGGATGTGCAGGATAGTTGAAGTTAGGCTTCATTGACGTTTCATTGATATTCAGCAGATTGGGGAATCAGGTTGGCGAAGCGGTACTTTCCTCGCCTTCCACCGCTGTGACCCGGGTTCGAATCACGCCCGGGCCAATATGTGGATTGGGTTTTCAGCCCCTACCTGATTCCGTGGGTTTTTCCCAAATATTCTTCTGAGCTTTTCCTCCCACCTCTAAAACTGTAATATTTTCTCATTGTCTACTCTCTACAGGTTTTGTCAGGCTTTCAGGCTACAGTGCCTAGGGCACTTTTGAGGAATCCTTGGTTTCATTACCAGAAAGAAATAAAATAAAAATAAATAAAATAGAAACATGCCCTGCCCTTTGCAATTTGTGCAAACTGGTTGTGTCTAAAATACTACTGCATCAGTCCCTTTCACTGAAAATCATGGAAATGGTACTGATCTGCAAATAAAACCTTCTACCCTCACAACACTTGTCAAGTCCAAATCTCCCCAACTATTCAATAGAATCAATAACTTGCAAAAACTAAACAAATAATCCCTCACCTGAAAGGTCTCATCTCCAGATGTGCACTTCTTCTTCTCACAAACGGCAGCCGGGAGAGGCTCCCATACATATGTGTATGCTGTTGGTGAGTAGAAGTGTGGTGTGGTTGTGGCGATGTACATGTACCTCCTTCCCATATAGTGCCACATGCTTTCTCTTTGCTCAACAGAGTTTCACTACAGTCAGCTTTAAGCCTAAGTGTGTAAGAAGTATAAAACAGAGACATCATAATTTTTGCAGTAACATTTTGTTTTTGAATCTAAACAAGTGTAAAAATCAAATATAGGGATGCTGAGTGTAGTAGAACATTGAAAAAAAATTGAAATAGTGTTCACAAGATGGTCAGGCCTTGGTCTAACCATTTACATGAGAATGTATAACATGGCTGAAGAATGGAACCACACGCTGTTTTTGTTTGGGGTGGGGAGAGGAGGCGGCTAATTTTACGTAGTCATTTTGGCACTTTGTTTTTATATGCAATATGCAAGTTTTATTGTGAGTTTTCTTTCTTTCTTTTTTAAGGCAGAGAGACAGGTATTCCAAGCATATATTACCCTCTCCCCTGAGCAAAAGTTACAAATGACACAGCTGTTTTCAAAAGCTTTGCCAAGAACTTAATAGATGTTTTCAAGTACTATAAAAATTGTACCTATACTACATGTAAATGTAAATCGTCCTACCAGCAAGTTATTTTTTTGTTTTTAATATATTGTCAACTACCCACAATCTAGTTGTTTGGGAAACACTTTTTGGAGGATTTCTCTTTTATTTCTTAGATGTAGTTACAATATAGACTCTATAGTGTATATGGTTTGGCCTTGTAGAATTTCTTAATTCAATTTGGTCTGGCCTAGTAGCCTTAGAATAAATGGTTCTCCATTAATGTACCCAAAACAGCTTGACTGTTTGTCTCCTTATTTTATGTGGTTCATTAAAGGAAAAAATCAAGGATGATTTTTGTTTTATTGAACTACAGGAGACAGTATACATTTGATGCACAACACACACTTGCCACAACTCATGGTCAGTGTTGGTCAATGGCCCCCACATGGGAGGTCCCCCACATCCTGGTTCCAAGTACTCTCCCTCATGAGTCATGGAAACATGGTTTTGCATAGCAACCAGTTATATAATTAGTATTGTCTCTATGTGTCATGAAATGGGTTTATACGGTGAAGGCAAGTGCAATCAGCTTCATTCTGATTCAAGCTGCAGCAGCACTGACTTCAACAATTTTCTTCCCACCCTCCCTCTCCTTTAATTAGATTATGTAATAGTTTGCCTAAAGTTTTCTTTTTACTGTCTAATTTTGTATCTCATTCATGAGGATTTCTCTTTTATTTCTTAGATGCAGTTACAATATAGACTCTATAGTGTATGTGGTTTGGCCTTGTAGAATTTCTAAATTCAATTTGGTCTGGCCTAGTAGCCTTAGAATAAATGGTTCTCCATCAATGTACCCAAAACAGCTTGACTGTTTGTCTCCTTATTTTATGTGGTTCATTAAAGCATGTACCTATACAAGGGCGGATCCAGGGGGGGCCAAAGGGGGCCATGGCCCCCCAAAACGAGACCAATTTTTTTTTTTTTTTAGGTGACATCGCAATAAAGGCAGGCAATGAGTACACCACCATCTTTTCCTCAAAAAAAAAACATTGGTTAAAGTGGTCAGAAATTGCCTCAGATCGCACCACAGAGCATCTAGAATCCAAAATTTTTTGGGGCCCTTTAAGCGGGCCCCGAACCCCACACTGCATTTTTTTGACCCACTTTTCTGGGGGTCCAAAAATTTTTTGGCCCCCCAAAAATTAATCCGCCCTTGTACCTATACCATGGTTCCCATATTAGGCCCTGCCATGTATGATGGTCAGAGCAAACTCGAGCATTGAAGTCACCGAGAATGAAGAGTTTGTCTGTCATGCGAACTGGAAGATTACTTCCAGATCATCATAGAGCATGACATCATCCTGGTTTGCCATGATAGGTGCATTTACACGCTAGTCAGGTAGCATGATGTTGCTTTACTTTCGAGACTATCAACTATGGATTTTCCCGTCTAAACCAACACCAGCTGCATATGATGTTTATCGCTGTGACGACCACTCCAGAAAAAGGGGTAACCAGCGCCAATTTTCTTTAGATGACCTTGCTTGGCAAAACGAGTTTCACTAAGTGCTGGCTATGTCAATGCTGTATTTGGCAAGCTCTCTGCCAATGAGTGCAGTTCTTTGTATAGGTGTTCGCACATTCCATGCTGCAAAGTTAAGCGAATGTTGTTTGGCTTTTCTGCAACTGGTACGCTTGCTGTGTAAGTAAGGTGTCGATATTTTGTTTTGAAGATCACTCACGATACATAGACCGTCCTGGATGATGTGTCTGTGTAGGCGGCAGTAGACGGTGAACATTAAACAAACAAAAAAACAAAACTAGATTTCTGTTTGTGGACAAACACATAGCTGTTTCGGTATTTTGGTATTGTATTCCTTTTGGTATTGTAATCCTCAACAACGATGGAAAAAAAAGTAAAGTCGTGAATTGCAGGTCAACCGTTCATTGCTTTCAATATGAGTGATGAGAAAAGGAAGCTCTGTGTGACTATCATTGTAGGTGGTACCTGGCAATCTCCTACATTTAGATAATTTTAGAAATATTTTTTTCTCCAAGTTGCAGTTTAGAAGACAGAACAAAACTACTAGCATAAACTCAAGGTATTTATTTATTTAGGTTAAAAAAGTGGTAAACTACAAGTTGGTACTGCATGTGCAAATTATAGGTAGTTCCTTCACACATTTAGTGTTGAGATTGCAGCTATAACATGATTTGGTGATTTTATTCTGAAATCAATCTATCAGTATGTACAAAATTACCTTTGACACTCCTAGATAATTAAAGCATCAATCTTTTAATGCTAGTATTGATCAAAATCACCTGTTTGGGAGTATGGAGGACGAAAAGAGGCCATCTGCTTTTCTGCTATCAGAAAAGCAGAATAGCAGATTGAACGTTTTGTGACAATGCATTTTTCTGCTTTTCTGCCACCTGAAAAGCAGATTTTACGTAGGTGGTCGAAAAGTGGCCATCTGCTTTTTTCCTTTCAGGAAAAGAAGGAAAAGTAAAATCTGCTATTCAGGTAGCAGAAAAGCAGAAATGTAGAAAAATGCATTTATACAAAATGTTTAATCTGCTTTTCAGATAACAGAAAAGAAGAAAAGTCTTACAAAAATGTACAATCTGCTTTTCTGCTTTTCTGATAGCAGAAAAGCAGATGGCCACTTTTCGTCCTCCATATTGGGAGGTTGGTGTACATTTACTGTTGATATGCAAGACAACCGCATCTCGACCTCTAGATTTTGACCAATCAGCGGGCCCTTTCTATATCAGGTCTTTGGTCATTCACCTGTTGCGCGGGATTTGAGTCTGGGTTGTGTCTGTTCCCTGCTGATAGCTTGGTGGAGGAGGTGATATGGATCCATGGCGCGTCGGGCCAGCGCCATGCTTGCTGCCTTGCCTACGGAGCTCAGCTGGTGGGATGCCTGCAAGCACAGGGAGCTGCTCCAATGGTGTAGGTTGTAAGCATCCAGTGATTGTGCGCAGGGTGCAGTTAAGGCTCACATCTACCAGGCTGGTGTGTCTGCTCCTACTCCATGCTGGTGCACAATACTCAGCCGGCGCGTATACAAGTGCCAGGGCAGAGGTGCGGAGTGTTGATGGACTTGCTCCCCATCCTGTGCCCACGAGTTTACGGATGAGAGCACTGCGTGCCATGACCTTGTCTCAGAGTCCGGCAAGATGTTGTCGGTAGGAGAGTGTCCGATCCAGCTTGACACCAAGATATGTGGTTGTTGTCTGGAAGTCCAAGCGCCTCTTGTTGATGTACACATCTAGCTCACGTTTTGCTTCCTTGTTGTTCAGATGGAATGCTGTAGAGACTGTCTTACCCTCACTCAGCTTCAGCCGCCACTGTCTCAGGTATAGGGCCAAGGTGCTCATGTCCTGGCTCAGGGTGCTTTCAATCATCTTCCGCTCTCTGTGTGTTGTCAGGATGGCCAGGTCGTCGGCATATTCGTACTTCTTAGAGATTGTATCAGGGAGGTCATGGATGTACACGTTGAACAGCATTGGAGCCAGGACGGATCCCTGTGGAACACCATTTTTGAGCCGGCGTGGTCTGCTTTGTTGCCCGTCGCTGGTCTTGAGCACGAAGCTGCGGTTTGAGATCAGCTCCACAATAAAGTGTACCATCTGTCTGTCTGGCAGCATCCGTAGAAGTTTTAAAGTCAACCCACGGTGCCATACAGTGTCATACGCGGCGGTCAGGTCTATGAGTACAGCGCCAGCTGTCTCTTTGGCCTCAAAGCAATCCTCGATGTCCTGAGTGAGCAGGGTTACCTGATCCACAGTGGATCGTCCTTTGCGGGGCAGCTGGGGATCAATGATGGGATTGATGCGTCCGTGAATCAGCCTTTCAAGCAGCTTGTATGGACTACACAGGAGTGAAATAGGCCTGTAGTTTTTAGGGTCGTTCCTGGGCTTGTTAGGTTTCGGGAGGGCGATGACAGTTGCCTTGCGCCAGATTTTGGGGATTTTGCATCTTTCCATCGAGGTAGACAAGTACCGACGTAACCACTCAGTTGCAGTATCTCCTGCATGTAAGAGGAACTCTGGGTGGATATCGTCTGGTCCTGGGGCCTTACCCGCCTTCATTGACTTCAGTGCTTCGACCAGTTCTTCTGTGGTGAAGGGGTTGGTAATGTTCACGTCCCCACCATCAACAAGTTCCGTCATTGTTGGATCTGGAGTAACCCCATTCAGTGTGGTGGCAGTTGAAATCCCCAGCGCAGATGCAGGGGTGAGTGACCGCTGGTAGGGATGCTTTGGTCAGGCGTGTTGGGGGTGGCTTATACACGTTAATGATAGTTACATCCTGAGCCTTCACGGCCAGCCATTCCAGTTCGGAGTCATCCGCGGACTGTGCCTCCAGGGACCACTCTGTGTCCTGTCTGACAAAGGTGGCCAGGCCGTGGTGTTTGTTCAAGATGTGTGCAGCTAGTGTGAATTCGGGAATTGTTAGTTCTCCGTCGTTTCACAGTGTGTTTCTTGCAGCAAAATTACAGAGGCTTTGTTGGTATATGCAAGCTGTTCAATGATGGTAAGTTTAGCGGTGGTGAGACCCTCGACGTTCAACTGCAGTATC